CAGTCCTATCACAGGACCCCTCTCTTGCATGCATCCTACCTGATGGACAAGATTTGCTTATGTTGGTGGCATTAAAACATATGTCTTATCTCCCCTAAAGTCTTTGTGGATTAGGAAACTCCTCTGGCTTGAGGATTATTATAATTTTTATATCAAAATCTTGTTGTATCTTAATTTTTATTATCTCTAAGTTGTTGTTCTCCTCTGTTGCTGTTGTGGAATCTGGCTACAGTGCTCCAGCTTTCTCGCACAGGGACCATTGCGGAAGACTGAAAGCATGTAGATTGTAAGGCGAGAATCCTGGAGGGGTGGAGTGTGGGGAAGTTGGGGTTCCTATCGCCAGGATCCTCACTGAACTTAAACCACCTGATGATGTAACGGGCCGTTGCTGGGCTGCCGCTTCCACACCTTTAGGCAATAAGCTATTACTGCGCTATATAGAGAGCTTGGCCCAGTGCTCTGGGCGGAGGCAGAGATGCTAGTGCTCGACCTTCTGCCAGGAGAACAAGCTGGGTAATAAACCCTTTCACCCCAAAAACATTTTGCTGTCTATTTCTTCCGTCACAGTGAATCCATAGCGAACTTGCCCGGGGCTGAAACCCATTGGCAAGACAAATACAGCAAGTAAATATGGTCCTTTTGATGCCGGTGTTCTTGTTTGCGGAGCTGAAGAATGAGCTTCACAAACAGTCAAGGTAGGAGAGCAAGGTACAGGCTTTATTTAGAGATACAGTGAAAGGACAGAGCTCCTGGCTCATGCAAGGAGGGGACAAGAGAGCCCGTAGTGGTGCATTGTCTAGGGGGTTTTATAGGCCATTGAGGATTTTTCGAGAACATGAAAAAAACTTAGGGGTGTGGACTTGTTAAGTGGTCCCTGAATATTAAAAATTAATATAAGGAATTTCCTGCCTTGATTTCTCTCCGGGACACCTGCGCGTTGGTCTGGGAGCATATCAAAAGGCTGCCTGCCCAGCTCCCAAGGTGGGCTGAGGTATTGTCTACTTGCTAAAGAATCTAGCCTCTTGAACTTCCTGGGTGTTAAAATGCAATCTTATCTTCAAGATGGACTTCTTCCTGCCTTTAACCATGCCGTCTACAGCTGGGCCTGCAGCTAAGTTAGTTGCTCAGTTTGCAGAATCACCTCGTCAGATCTGAAGGAGGAAAGATAGCACAGAGGCCTGGGCCTTTTAGCATGCTAGAGTGAATCTCACACATGGTTACAAATGATTAGCATAATAAAACATGTGCTACTCTTCTTTATCTGGGGAACATTAACTGATCTCACTGAAGAATGATTCTAGAGCTCAATAATTAACATAGTTTTAGTAGGGGGGTTTCCTTGCATGTAGTTACATTGCTCTGACTGCAAATATCCTCCCCTGCCTCCTCCGGAGGCCCTCACCCTTCTCTGACTACATCCATGGTCCCTGTCTCACTTTTTCCAGGTTGACCAATTTGTGCTTTTTGCCCAGGTCCTTCCGTGTCTCATCCCCGGAACTCCTGCGTCCAAGGCACCCCGAGGTTAGTCGCCGTGTTATGACAAAGCCCAGGCCGTCCCCGCCCCTCCACCAGTCGGTCGCACCCGTGGCCGCTGGGGGCGCTGTGGCGCTGCCTGGGAGGCGCTCTGGCCCCGAGCGCTGCCGCTCCTTCCGCCCTCCCGGCAAGCCCCGCGCGACGCCTGCGCACTCGGTGACCTTCCCGAGTCGTTGGCCGTGTGTGGGCTGGGGGCGTCTTGAGCTGTGGGTCGGTCGCCGCGGTGAGTGCGGAGTCGCCGGGACGGTGGGGGCCGGGGCCGGGCCTGGCCCTCGCGGGGGGAGCTGGCGACCCCCGGCCCCGCCGACCTTGGGGTACAGCCCGCGCCCGGCCCACGCGCGCTTTTCCGCCCCGGCGCGGGGCCGTGAAGGGAGGCGGTCCGGGGTGGGCTGGGTTGGCGCGGCGGTACCCGGGCGCTCCTTCGGTAAGGGGCGTGCTTGGCTGTGATGAGAGACCCAGCTTCCTAGCCTGGGTCACGCAGCTGGCTAGGATGGAGCCCGAAGCCACGGAAGACTCCCGTGCCCCCGGGACCTTCTGCCCTCTGCACCTCAAGCTGCCTTGCGACACACTTGTTCTCCAGGTTGTACTGAGTGTGTGCCTAGGCCTTGGGAGAGGGGAATCGGGTACCAAGCCAGGATCAGGGGAGGTGATGGAAGTATTAACCCAACCGTGATTTCCCCGTCTGGGGCTCAACGGGTCAGACGTTTCCTGTCCCCAGTTGTAAGGTCAGATCGGTAGTTTGCTGTCAGTGTGATGTGCCATAAGCTGCAGACCTAAACGGACATAGTGGACGCCCGTTTGACCTTTGAATGGGATGGGCTTTTAGAAAAGAACAGGTACTAGAACACCCACACACGCAGCTGGGAGACGTGGATGGACTGAGTGGACTGCGGTGGAACAAGTAGGGGGCCTCACTTTACCAAATGACTCAGAACATGTCCAGCCAAATATGGCAACCGTGGCTAAAAGGAAAGTGGGAGTGGGAAAGGTAAGTATTTGCAGTGTATGTACTGTACACCTGAAGTCTCCTTGGCCCCTTCTTACCTACTCCGCACCCTCCTAGTTAACTTTGCTCTTCCACCCCTAGATCCTCCTCTGATCTCATTAAGGGAGAACATCTTCTGAAGTCCTCTTAGAATCCCAGTGGCTCAGTACTATTGCCATCAGCTTGGTATTTGTGGGATTTTTTTTTTCTGCTATTGCTGTGGTCTTAAGAGCTCTTATACCACACCAGGCACTAGGCTGGGTCGTTTATGTTTCCTCCTTGAATTCCATGGAGCACCCTGTGGGCAGGTGGTGATACCTTGTTTCACAGAAAGAGAAACTTTTGAAACACCGGCTCCAGGGACTTGCCCAAGGCTGAAGGCAGAGCAGGAGAGCTGGTGTGGGAACCCAGGATTCCCAGGCTTTTGGCCCCAGCGGTCCTCTGGAACACCTTCCCTCCCAGTCATTGCTGGATTGGGGGAGAGGGAGGCACTCGGTGCCTCTGAACTCTTGCTGTCTGTCAGGTCTGTGGGATCCTCACAGGCACCTTCACCAGGCAGGAATGTTGTTGGTTTCTTGGAACCTCACGCTGTGGTACAGTCTGAAGACAGGAAGTATGAGGCAGACACGTCTGCACAGGGTTCCAGAAGGACACAGCCACATCCTGCCAGGTGGCACTCGGGTTGGCTGGCCTTCAGGACCATGCCTCGGCCCGAGTGTGTTCTAGAAGAGCCAGGAACCAGGCCTTGGAGTGGATTCTCGTAGCAGTGAGGTGCAGCGTCCTGGGTGACTCGCGTATCCAGCTGCGTGATCTCAGGCAGCTTCCTGCAAGTACCCACTTTGTAGAGCTGGGGAGTGGCGCAGGATACGAGTGGGTAAAGCACTTCACAAAGACTTAAATTTGCATGGCATTCTTAGAATACAAGCTGAACTCTTTACCATGTTCTCCAGGGCCCTAAATGGCCTGGCCCATCTCCCCTCCCATCGAGCAGCCATGGCACTTTGTATAACAAGCACCAAAATAGGACCCCAGACACTGTAAATACTTGATGCAGAGGAGCTTCATGTATCAGCCCTTTGAGCTGGATAGTGTTTTTACCCTTTTTACAGATGAGAAACTGAGACAGTTTAAATTAGCCGGAAAGTAGAGCCGGCATTTGAATCTGGCCAGCTGTGGTGGCCTTCCCATTCCTCCGCACCCTCTAAGTCCTTTCTGACCTCGGGGTCTTGGCACTCATGCTGCCTCTATGAGGATACTTCTCTCCAGGTATTCTGGCCCCTCAGAAGCCACTTTCTCATCTGCTAAAACAATTCCTGTCTATGACACGTTCAGTCCTTATTTCCCAGTTGAGTAGTGATCACAGTCCGGCCAGGTTTCAGTAATGGAAGACCTAGAAAACGGCAGAGAGGTAAAATTCTGTGTAGCCCGAGATAGGATGGAGAGAAACAGGCCTCGGCCGTGGAATGACACAGCACCACTAACTGAAGCCCGAATAGCATTTTGCAGCAGAACAGAGGAGGGTACTGAGTTATTCCTGCACAGGTTTGAATGACCAGTTCAGGAGGCCGCTTCAGATGGTACAAGGCTCAGCAGAGTGAAAATGAGTGTATTAATTCAGTCTGGTGAATTGTACATGCAATCAAAGGCATTACCTTCAGACCACATAAAAGTGAACTTGTAAGTTTCCAATGGAGTACTATTTAGCCATAAGAAAGAAACAAATACTATCATTTGCAACAACGTGGATGGAGCTGGAGGATATTATGCTCAGTGAAATAAGATAGAGAAAGGCAAGTACCAAATGATTTCCCTCACTTGTGGAGTATAACAACAAAGCAAAACTGAAGGAGCAAAACAGCAGCAGATTCACAGACTCCAAGAAGGGACTAGTGGTCACCAAAGGGGAGGGGTAGGGCAGGATGGGGGGAGGGAGGGAGAAGGGGATGGAGGGGTATTATGATTGGTACACATGGTGTGTGGGGGGGTCACGGAAGGCAGTGTAGCACAGAGAAGACAAGTAGTGACTCTGGCATCTTACTACACTGATGGACAGTGACTGTAACGGGGTGTATGGGGGGGAAGGGACTTGATAATATGGGTGAATGTAGTAACCACATTGTTTTTCATGTGAAACCTTCATAAGAGTACATATCAAAGATACCTGAATAACAGAAATACAAAGTGAACTACGTAAGTTCAGACTTGGACAGCCTTTCCCGATCAAATCCAGTCATTAGATACCTTCATTAAGTCATGTCTTAATTGCAGTTCTTAGGAGGCGAGAAGCCTTGTGGCCTTGTGCTGCCTGCTTTGTACCCAGCAACGGACCTCCAGACTGAGTCCACGTGGAATGCTGTGGCTGTCATTACTAACACTGTGTTGTATGACTGGAATTTGCTAAGAGAATAGAACTTAAAGTTCGTGCCGAAAAAAAAAAGAGGTGAGGCAGTGGATGTGTTAGTCGACTAGGTGGGGGAAATTTCTTTCACAGTGTACACGTACAAGAAGTCACCACTGCAATGTGTACTTTAAATTTCTAGATTTATATGTCAGTTATGTCTCAAAGCTGAAATTTAAAAAAAAAACAAAAAACAAGGTACAGCTGATCAACATGTGTCCAGGCCTGGAGTGAGTCTCAAGGAAATTACTTCATGTTGGTTTTCAGCTTTGAAGGCCAGCAGTTCTTAACATGATGATACAAATATACTGGTTTTTCAGTTTAAAAGCTAGAAAGTGGCAGTTCGTTTGGGGCACACTGTTAGTGGAGGGTAGTCAACAGAGGGGACCGTGCAGTGACAGTGCAGCATGGCTGGGAGGCCTGGGGCTGGAGGAGGATGAGGCGGCGGAGCCCTAGGATGGCCATGGCTGGGGGCCCTGGGGGCGAGCGGAGCGTGAGCTGCCCAGAGCAGGAGCCCCTGTCGCAGTGGGAATGGCTGCACAGGGAGCAGCTCCCTGTGGAATAGTTGTGGGAAGCAGTCAAATTTAATGAGTAAGTGGAAACTTCCTATTATTGAGCTTTAAAATAAAGTCATGTTCATATTTTTTTTTGTATTAAGGTATGAGTGACATACACTCCTATGAAGGTTTCACATGAAAAACAATGTGGTTACTACATTCACTCATATGATCAAGTCGCCCCCACACCCCATTGCAGTCCCTGTCCATCAGCATAGTAAGATGCCACAGAGTCACTACTTGTCTTCTCTGTGCTACACTGCCTTCCCTGTGACCCCCCCACACACCGTGTGTACCAATCATAACACCCCTCCCCCTTCTCCCTCCCTCCCCACCTGCCCTCCCCCACCCCTCCCCTCTGGTGACTGCCCGTCCCTTCTTGGGTTCAGTGATTCTGCTGCTGTTTTGTTCCTTCAGTTTTGCTTTGTTCTTATACTCCACAGATGACTGAAATCATTTGATCCTTGTCTTTTTCTGCCTGGCTTATTTCACTGAGCATAATACCGTCTAAATCCGTCCACGTTGTTGCAAATGGTAAGATTTGTTTTCTTCTTATGGCTGAGTAATATTCCATTGTGTATATGTACCACATCTTCTTTATCCATTCATCTACTGATGGACACTTAGGTTGCTTCCATTTCTTGGCTATTGAAGATAGTGCTGCGATAAACATAGGGGTGCATCTGTCTTTTTGAATCTGAAAAATTGTTTTCTTTGGGTAAATTCCTAGGAGTGGAATTCCTGGGTCAAATGGTATTTCTATTTTTAGTTTTTTGAAGAACCTCCATACTGCTTTCCACAATGGTTGAACTAAGTCATGTTAATATTTTTCACTGTGTTCCTTTTCAGATGCTTCAAAGCCTTATTAAAAATGTTTGGATCCCTATGAAGCCCTACTATACCCAGGTTTACCAGGAGATTTGGATAGGAATGGGTTTGATGAGCTTCATTGTCTATAAAATCAGGAGTGCTGGTAAGTTTATGCTTGAATCACTAAGATCAGGAAGGAAAGTATTTTCTAAAGGAATCCTAATTCATATTGTGAAGAAACTATGATTCTTAACTAGGCATGACCAATCAAACCCCCTGTTGAATGTGGGGAGTGTACAGCTGCCGCAAGAGACGTTTGGGGACAGCTGGAGAAAATCTGTGTAAGGCTGGATATCAGAGATAGTAGAGTCTCAGCTGTGACAATGGCATTTTGAGTATGTAGGAGATGTCTTTCGTTTTAAGAGACACAGACTGAAATACTTAGGGGTGAAGTGTTGTGGTAGAAGGTATTTAATTATACCTTTCCCACTGTTCTGAATGTTTGGAATATTTTCATAACAAAAGTTGGGACAGGATAGCCATTTGGTTCTCAGTGGAGCAAAAATGAGGTCCAATCATATACTAACAAGCAGCTGGTTAGTAACAGGAAGGAAAGAAAAGTTTATACTGTAAGACTGGGGTTTGGGATGTGGCAGGGAGAGGAGCCCTGTAGGGCCGCTCATTTAGGAACATCTGTGGTAGAAGAAACCTTAGCACTTCCTGGCTGTGAGGTGCTGCAGCAGCTGTTCCGAAAGCTCCCTGTAACAGCTTCACCTGCGCCGTGGCCTTTCCAGCCAAGTGTTGGTTTAGATAATGAATTGACTGAAGGCATTTTTGTAAAGCAGGGCTATGACCAATTTTCATTTCCTTTTATTTTAGATAAAAGAAGCAAAGCTTTGAAAGGTAAGATTTTTGTTCTTTAAACAGGCAGGGAAAGGACACACCATTGTGCCTCTCCAGGGTAAGGTGTGTCACTGTTCTGACACGTGCTTCAATACATGTGTGCCACGCAATGGGGACACCTCGGCACATGGAGTTCGCTATATCTGTGGGATGAGTTCTGAAGCTGTCCCTGTGGTCTGTTGAGGACCATTGCTCACTCCCTTGGGCCGAGGGACACTTCCAAGGGTCATGGGAAGGTGGGTTGTTCAGAGGCCGCTGATGGCACCAGCAGGGAAGCCCTGTTAGCTGTGCAGGCTGCTCTGTGCAGGTGCAGCGTGTGTGGATAGAGCCCCACATAAATGTAGGCCCTGGTGCCAGGCGTTTGCGCTTCATCTCCCAAATGACAGTGAGCCTGCAGTCCTGTGAGTCCTCCACAAACCCAGGGCTGGCCCGTGATCTTTGGGGAAGAGGCACGTCTCCACCCCTCCATCATCGCGCCTGCTAGAGAGCTGCCTCCTGCACACGCTCACCGCACGAACCCTTGGCCTTCCGCACACAAGCGGCCTTCCGTGCTTCGTAGTGGAAATTGTCGTTTGTGTGTTCTGACTTGTTAATTCTTACAAACTACATTCTGCTTGTTCCTTCCTCCCTAAATTGTTCTATCATGCTTCTCTTTGACAGCTTCAAGTCCTGCACCTGCTCATGGTCATCGTTAACCAGACCTCCTTGGAGAACGCATCAGATGGGACGTCACCCTGGCTGGAAATGTCAGCAGGCTGCTAGATGGGGGCATGGGCAGCTGCCGTGCACGGGCAGACGTGCTGCTCCCTTGTGGCATGAATAAACACACCTGTGACATGCTCCACCGCCCGCAGTGTCCCTCCACACTCGCGCCCGTGTAGGTCTCTGGTACCACAGGGCCGTCACATTCTCACTGCACCGTCCCGTCCCCAGGGCGCTGGAGGAGCTGAGCGTAGATCCCTCGGTCATCACGGGAGCGGGTCGCTTATCAGGAGCGCTCACACTCCTGACCTTCAGCGAATACTCGCTAAGCAGTTGGTTCTGCTACTTATTCCTGAGCCCTCACTGGGCGTCCATCTTCTCATTTGGAAAATGGAGATCGAGCTTCGGGCTACTGTGAAGATCGGTACGGGGAGGTGTGGGAAAGTGTATTGAGACTGAAGTGCTTTGGAAGGAAGGCGGTGCTAGAACACAACAGCGGGTGAAATTACAAGCTCTAGGATTTTATAGGCAAGTCACTTAGAAGGAGTGAAGTACATATTTAAAAATTCAATTGATATTTCTTCAGTTTGCTCAAATACACCATAATATTTTTCTCCGTGTAAGGCAATTACCAAGACGCCTAGAATTGTGTTTTTAGAAGATTCTAAAGCAGCAGGGATAGAAGTGAGTCCTTGGCGGGTCAGTGGGGCCTGACTTGGAGTAGAAGTAACAGCCCGGGCCCCAGCGTGCTCCCCTGTGGGGGGCAGAGACCAGCATTGGTGCCTCCAGCACGTAGGGTCAGGTCTGACCCACAGTCAGCGCTGCACAGATGCCACTCACTGTGGGTCTCTGCCTCTTGGCATGTCTTGTGTAAGGTGGGGATAAAACCCACCTAGGCAGCCTCCCTGACCGCCTCACGGGTGTTGGCTCTGCAGAAAACCGGCGTGAAGGCGTTACACTGCTCCTGCAGAGTCGGCGTGGAGCTGGGAGATGGGACGGTTCCGTCTAACACAAACGTTGTCCCCATTGAGCATGGGTTCAGCTCTGCCCCCAGAGAATGAACTGTCACTGTGGTTCCGAAAGACTGTCTTAAATTATGAATCCAGGCCATCTGTTGTCAGACCTACCCATGTGTCCATGTCACCTGGAGTGCTGTTGACAAGGACGGCGGCCCCGGTGCTTCCCTTGTCTGGGAAGGAGCCCAAGGGCTTATATCCTCACGAGTCCCCGGGACAGTGATGCCCAGGAACCACACTGGGAAAACTGATGCATGTGAAGAACAGCGCCCACCAGAGCCCTTGGGCTCACCACATCGATGGTCCTTGTTAGACACAGCTCCGCCCTGTGCATCTCAGCACGTGCGGTCCCAGGAGGCTGCCCAGGTGGGCCACGGTCCCTTCTCACCCAGCCAGTGCTGGGCCCAGGGCTTGGACTCCTACCTGGAGAGGGAGGGGGCTGAGGACTGAGGGACGCAGATCAGAGGGCTGGTGTGCTGGCCCTGGGAGTCCCTCGTACTGCCTGTGTGCTCCTTAGTTACAATCACCTGGGTAAATGATCATTTTGTAAAAGACGCTCATCACCCATCACGGCCCAGTTGCCCCTACCACCCCTTGGGCAGGGTGGGGTGAGGGCCCATTGGCCTTCCTGCAGTGAAGGGAACCTGGGTGAGATTGAGAGCCCCTCTGAAAGGTAGGCCGGGCTGGGTGGCGGCCTGCTGTGGCCGGCAGTATTGGACAGTGAGTGACAGTCGAAGGCAGCTTGGAGGATGTCAAAGACCCACCCGCTGGCCCCTGGAGATGTTGCCAAGGATCAACCATGCCTTAAAAAGTGCCAGGCAATCTTCCTGCCACACCAAGTGGTTTCTGCCCCCTACAATCCCAAGCAGAGGCAGGGTGTTTTGCAGTATAAAGTAGGCTGTTGGCGACCCCAGAAACCACTTATTTGCTGCCAGGGGAGGGCAGGCAGGTCCTCAGGCTCTGGGCAAGCAGGTGGTTCCTCAGGTGGCCTGTAGAGGGAGTCAGAGCTGCCACCAGCCTGACGTCACTCAGCTTCCTGGGTGTGACATGCACAAACGTGACTGGACCCTGTTCAAGGAGCCACATAGAGGACAGTGCCAGCTAAGGGTACCTGAAGGGTACACTCCGGAGCAGGGAGGGCCCAGACCACAGCCATGGGCGCCAGCAGCCAGGTTCAGCCTACGCCTTCCCATCCAGGCTTGGCACAACGCTTCTCAAAATGAACCCTGGCCTAGCCCTGGAGGCACGGGGAGCGAGTGGTCAGGGGCCCTGAGGGTGTGACTCCAGGCTCCATGCTCCCACTGAGCCTCAAGGAGCTCTGGGAGGAGGCATGTGTCCCGTGTCCCTGTACCCCAGGGACTCGCCCCAGTGGGGTGCCTTGCAGAGTGTGGTTCCTGCCACCCTCTGTGGGGTTGTGTGTCTAGAGCCAGTGGGTCCCCAGCACCAAGTGCCAAGCCCCAGTCTATGTGTTTTGTAGACTTAACCTGAAGGACACTGTAGGCTGGTACTGTTACCCCGTTTCACAAGTGAAGAAGTGGGGGCCCAGACAGGGTAATTAGCTTGCATTAGAGGATAACCAGCAGATTACTGCGCAAGCTAGTTAACTGTAGAGCCGGGATTCAGAATCAGACCATCTGCTTCAGAATTGCGCCCAGATGTTAAAAATCAGGGATATAGGGATGATTAGCAGACATGCTTTCCCCCTGGACTTGGACAACAGACTGCTGAGCCATGGAGCTTGACAGCCCACACGGAGCAGGCGTCTGCCATCGCAGCTGCAGCCTGGGTGCATCCGGCCCGGGCATCGGCAGCCAGCACCTGCTCGACAGCTGACTCCCACCTTCTTCAGACAAACCATGGCCAAAAGATGCTTCGGTACGGTTAGGGCAGTTTGAACATGAACTGGATGTTAAGTGACATCAAATAATTGTTCATTGTATTGGTTACTGTCATTGTGGCTATTGAGGAAAATATCTGGTGCAACCAGTAGGTACAGGTTCAGGTATGTGTGTGAAGTGATGTGGGATTTACTTTAAAATACAGCACACACGAACTCACCCAAACCAGCTGGGGACGAGAGCATTAGTAAGGGGACGTGGGCCACGGGGCATTAGGGGTGGCGACGATGCACAGGGTCGGTGCCCTATTTTCCCTGCCTTTATATGTGGTTCAACTTCTCCCAATAAACATTTTTAACACTTAAAAAACGAAAGGCTTTCTCAGCACTATAATGCCTCACTCAGGGGAGGCGCCGCTGCGCCCGGAGCCCAGGAAACGGCCCTGCAAACTTGGAGTGGGCTGTGTGGACAGTGGCCTCTCATTTCCACGCAGCAGGAAAGCTACCCTCTCATGCTGTTACTAAAGTGAGTCAGCTTTTATATTTGTTTTCTTCTTGAAGAGAGATTTAACGTAGGCTTGAGATAACAAATGCCGAAGTCCAGAGGAAAAAAATGTCAGAAAGTACATCTTTTAATTAGCAAAAATTTAATTTTTCAATTTTAAACTACAACTCAGAACTAAAATGTTCATGATTATACATGCTATGCTGTCAGCTTGGTATGCTTTCTTTTCAAATAACATTTGATCTTTTCCTGCCATCTTTATGTTGGAAAAATGCAACCTCCGTAATGGAGAGCTAGAGAGTTGCAATTTGAAAAACTTCCAACACACTGTGTCAGATGAATGCTGTTCAGCTGGAAAAAATTGAATTTACTTGTCATTTTAAATAAAACATTCAAATAGTCAAATTTGAACATTTGATAGTTGGCAGTCCTAGAAACCATCAAAAGGGAAGCCAAAGGTTTAAACAGCGCACAGCTGCAGGGGGCACCAGCACTGTGGCTTCCTGTCATCTTCCTGAGCTAAACTTACAGCACTGGTAGCTCTGAGGGCACTGGGGGTGCATCAGGGAAAGTGGCTAGCAGGCACTAGACCCCCACATCCAATGGGGCGAATCTCACTCAGCACACACAGGAAGTGGATTTCGATAGGCAGAAAGTCAGTGTTACAGGGAGAGTTATTCAGTGCCTGCCATTTCTGTAACCCTGAGCAGTGCCAGGCATTCTAGACAGTTCACCAACACCCCCATACCAGCCTGCCGCCAGCACACCTTTGGGAGGAGAGCACAGGCCCCTGCAGAGCTCACCTCCCTCTGCAGCAGAGACAGGTGGTGGCTGGCCTCCAGCTCTGCTCCCAGCGCCCACCCCTCTGGGCACTGAGGGCCAAGTCTGGGGGAGGGGTCCGAGTCCTGTTAGCCACGCTTCTGCACACCTCGGGGTCCCCGCCATGCCAGGGCCAGTGGCAGTGAGAGGAAGGAGAAGATGCTGCTCTCACCTCAGGAAAAAGTGGATTAGATCTTGAGGTTGGCATTGGAATGGAGAACTGGTGGAATTGGCAACGGTTAAAGTGGAACACTGAATTTCTTAAAATCCCAATAAACATCAAAGGCGCAAAGAAATTCTGGTGTTTTATGCCATGCAAAAAAAAATTTTTTTTATTGCAGTCTTGAGAAAGTCTTAATGAGCAGCTGATCTTGTGGCAGTTTAACTGGAAAAGTATATGACAAAATGCATTCAAGTTACAGGTACACTTACAGAAACAGCCTCCTAAACTACAGCTTTCTTTATTCAACACACATTTTGATGAACTCTTCACTGCATGCACCTGCTGTACTTCACCTCAGGAATTCTGCCCACTGAGAGTCTAGCATGTACTTGCAAGTTTATATTAAAAGCAGATTTCTGCAAATGCAGTGTGCCTCACCCATATGCAGCTTGTGTTCCCTGCACCTGAGAGCATTCTGGCAGGCTGGATTCAGATTCCAGCTGGCACTACCGCGTCTCACTCACCTGGCCTTAACTTCTCTGGGCCTCAGCTTCCCCATCTTTAAATGAAGGAGTTGGACTGAATGACCCTGGAGCTTCTATCACCTCTATAATTCTATGGGTAATGGATCTGTAATGAACCTGAATTCCTTGACCCAAAAAAAAACATGAGCTGTGAAGCAACTGCAGGCTTATAGGTCATAAGCTGCAGATTTGTGTAAAGGACCAATTCATTTCTTAATGCCTGATCTCTAACATGTAAGACCAGGCATGTACAGTAGGCACTCAGATTTTTAAAATCTGAAGCCCATTAAAAAAGAGCTTCCTAGTTCTTGGTAAAACAATAAGGAATGTCTTTGGTGACTGTATTAACCATCACTCTGTTGATGTAACAAGGAAGTGAGAGAATGGGGGTCCTACGTCAGGGTCTCTCTCCCAGAGCGAGTTTAGGGGAGCACTGTTCCCACCCCAGTGTGTCAGGAAGGGGTCCTGGCAGGAGTGGCTCTGCAAGTTGTGCCCTCTGTAGGAGAGACTGTGAGTGTGCCATGATTACATTAAAGACTGAGTCCTGCAAGAGGGAAATCAAGTTTGACCCAGAGTGACCCAGATGTACCTGCCCTTGGAGGCCTTTGTCCCTGGAGCGCGCTTTGGGGGTGCTGGCTCACACATCCCCGGGTGCCATTCCTAACTTCCCCTGCAGCCCCTGCCCAGGATCCTCGGGCACCACCTGAACACCGTCCCGTCTCCCCAGCCCATCGTCTTCGGTGCCCAGGATCAGCCTGGGAGGACCCAGCAAAATCTAAGCCTCCCACTCTGCCGCATGTTCACATGCACCTCTGGTGCCACCAAGCTCTTAGTTACTGCACATCCTCTTCGGTAGGAGCCAGAAGAATTTCAGGGGCGTTTTCCTTCCCGGCTTCAAGAGTCTGGGGAGGGTTCCGGTGGGGTGGACACTCACTGCTGGCCCAGGCCCCTGGGATCCGCTCACGATCCCAAGCACCCTCTGGCTTTGCAGGCCTCCCCCTTGGCAGCCCCCGCTTGCTTCTGAGGACTGTTCTGAGGAGGAGCCAGGGGTGCTGGGAGCTATGTACCCCCAGAGGTACGTACCCTGCCAGAGTAGGCTGCCACTCCTCCCACGGAACTCAGGCCAAAATGCCCCGATAGACTTCTTCTCCCACAGTCTGTCCCTTCCACCCTCCCAGCCTGCCTTGAGCCACCGCAGGGAGTCGGCTTCTGACAACCCGGTCTAAGATTCCAGGGCCCTTCCAAATGAGTGTGCAGGGAAAGCAGGGCTGCGTGGGGGGGGCTGAGCACACAGGTGTCGCCGCATGGCCACCACACCGCTGCTGTGCTGCCCATCCTTGGTAACATCTTCCAGTGCCTTGGTCCAAATCTGTGGATTGGGAACATCACAGCAGACCTGCCAGTGTCCTGAAGTGTCCAGGAGTCCCGCAGAGGGACTGCTGTGGGGACAGCGAGGTGCTCACAGAGGACCCACCTGTCCTGCAGGCTCAGGTTACAGCTGCTGTGAACAATGGCAGGACTCAGCACAGACTCTACTACTGAAGTGCAGGCTTTTTCGCTCTGTTGGAAAGGGGCAGAGGGGGCGTTGGGTCTGCATCTCCTCTCTGGCCTCAGAGCCAAGGGGCTTTTCTGGTGAAGCCAGCACCTGAGGCCTCCAGTGCACCCCCAAGCAACTCTGAAGTCCAGCTCCATGCACAGAACCTCTACAGTGTCATCAACCGAGGCAGGGGCCCCCATCCCTGGATCCCCCATTCCTGCTGAGACGAGCCACAGGCACCGCCTCATGATGTCCCCAGCCGCCGTGAGGAAGTGAGGGCTCTCCCCTCCACCACCATCCTTGCTGAGCCCTGCAAAGGCAGGGTCGGGAGGAAGTGGCTCACTAGTGCTTGACAGGATTGCGCAGGTCCCTTTGGAAATGAGCTGCAGATGTGGGAAAGTTTGCGAATCAAGTCCTGAGGTGCCTGCAGTCATGGCACCAGTTCTCCAAGTGGGATCCTAGGGCTGTAGCGGCTTGGGGGGGCTGAGCACACAGGTGTCGCCGCATGGCCACCACACCGCTGCTGTGCTGCCCATCCTTGGTAACATCTTCCAGTGCCTTGGTCCAAATCTGTGGATTGGGAACATCACAGCAGACCTGCCAGTGTCCTGAAGTGTCCAGGAGTCCCGCAGAGGGACTGCTGTGGGGACAGCGAGGTGCTCACAGAGGACCCACCTGTCCTGCAGGCTCAGGTTACAGCTGCTGTGAACAATGGCAGGACTCAGCACAGACTCTACTACTGAAGTGCAGGCTTTTTCGCTCTGTTGGAAAGGGGCAGAGGGGGCGTTGGGTCTGCATCTCCTCTCTGGCCTCAGAGCCAAGGGGCTTTTCTGGTGAAGCCAGCACCTGAGGCCTCCAGTGCACCCCCAAGCAACTCTGAAGTCCAGCTCCATGCACAGAACCTCTACAGTGTCATCAACCGAGGCAGGGGCCCCCATCCCTGGATCCCCCATTCCTGCTGAGACGAGCCACAGGCACCGCCTCATGATGTCCCCAGCCGCCGTGAGGAAGTGAGGGCTCTCCCCTCCACCACCATCCTTGCTGAGCCCTGCAAAGGCAGGGTCGGGAGGAAGTGGCTCACTAGTGCTTGACAGGATTGCGCAGGTCCCTTTGGAAATGAGCTGCAGATGTGGGAAAGTTTGCGAATCAAGTCCTGAGGTGCCTGCAGTCATGGCACCAGTTCTCCAAGTGGGATCCTAGGGCTGTAGCGGCTGCAGCTGCCATCTGGGCCCCATCCAGAGCTGCTAGCCAGGCACTCGGGGTGGGGCCCAGCACCCTATGCTTTAAAGAGCCCTGCAGGAGGTTCTGATTGCCCTCGAGTTCAACACCCATTGACCTGGGAGAGTCTGACTTGAAGGGGAGCCCCAAGCAGTCAGCCACCTGCCATTCGGCCTGGGGAGTGATTCCGGTGTGGGCTCAACAGGTTTTTCTGAAACACAGCGTGATCTTCCAAAGAGAAGCCTAACCTGGCCCAGTTTCCAGCCGTGTGGGGAGAATCAGGCCGCAGAGCAGGGCTGCATGCCTGAGCCCCACCTCCAGTACACCTGGGCCCAGCATCATCTCCCCTCCTACCCCCATGTGTCTGGCCAGGGGGGCCCTGACTTCCAGCCCTGTGCTGGGCACCGAGTTGGGTGTCAGAGTTCCTGCCTTCTTGCCTGGTGCCATCCCATCTCTGGGAGGATATAGACTGTCTGCCAATCCCAGTGGTCAAAATACACATGAACAAAGATGGAACCAGTGTCTCTGCTGCTGGGGACATGCCCGTGCCCCTCCCACCGGAGCCCCTGCCATCACCAGGACCCCACACAGGTGGGCCACATGCACAAAAGCGAGGCTCTCCCTACCCGTCCCCACCTGCCTGCCCAACCAACAGCCAGGCCCTAGCATTCAGGGCGGGAGCCGGTGCCCGCTGCCCGCTGCCCGCTGCCCTACATCTACCAGAAGGCACGCGTTTGCCGATACAAGACTCACGATACAGACCCCGCCTCACCCGTGCAGGCGGTGGCCCCTGACTCTCTGCTGCCCCTCCCACCTACCTGCTTTGCCAGGCGGCCATCCTGGAATGTTCCTACTCAGCTTGTCCACTCACGTGAGTCCAGGCAGGACAGAGGATCCCCGGAAACCCGAGGAGAGCAGTGGAGGCTGGGCCTCCTGGAGCCCATCCCCAGGCCCCTCTGCGGCCTCCGCCCCTCCCCTGCCAGCAGATCCCGCCCCCACTGTCCCTGCACCGCCCACTCCCCGCCTCCCTCCTGTCTCGGCTCCTGTGACGATGTGGCCGCCGTGGCTTCCTTGTGGCATTTTGCTGCAGCGCCCAGCCCAGATGCCTGCGGGGCATCCGATTGGCCCACTTGTCTTTGTGCATCACACTAAAGCTCACGGCTGCCTTCAGGACGAATGCCCACCCACCACGTGTCGGTGTAACCAGTGACAATTGTGGGGCTGGCCTTTCACGACAGCTCAGTAGTCATCTCACTCCATCACTGAAATCTCCAGCAAGGTTTTTAAATTTTGCTTCACAAATCCCCCAAATCTGTAGTCTAAAAACCTTGGTGGTCACCACATCATGGCATGTTGGCGCCCCAGCCCCGACTTGGCCGGCAGTCCAGCTTTGGCGGCAGTTGCTGTGGTGGGCACTGGGGCCTGATGCCAGGGACCGGGACCATCTGGATGCCCCTCGTCCCCAGCCAAGCCCAGGCCGAGCACATTCCTGCCAGGTGGGAACTGAACAGACAGGTTTCTCACCTCACAGAGGAAACAGCTCCACTGAGCCTCTGGCCTCTGGTTTCACTGCCCAGTCAGCCAGTCAGCGTTCTGCTAGTGCTTCAGGGGAGGCTGAGGGTGGCCCCCCGGGGCACTCGAGTTCTCAGGGCACACCACCTGGGGTCCGGGTGACAGCCACACCCAGCCTCTCCCCGACTGCCCAGGGGGTGGTTAATGAACACCCAGCTGTCAGTGGGAACTCTTTTCTTCCAGGAAATTAGTACAAGAGAGCGGTAGCCTGGATCAAGTCGCCTGTCAAGAGTAACTTACACCCCACATTACACTCGAGTCCCGGGAGTAAATATCCAGGGGAAGTGTTTACTTCTGCAGGTGAACAAAGCAGCCTTTGTCACCAGCTCTGCCGGCGCCAAGCCCTCCGTCGGGAGGAACTGGCTCGTGCAGTGCCAGGGGTGGGGGGGTGAGGGGCAGCCTGGCAGTTGACCAGTCAACCACTTTCCTGGGTGGGCTGACACCCACAGAGCTCAGGATTGACAGGACTGTCAGCACCCTGCCTGGGTCAGCTTGGGGGGGACATTCTCCACATGAGGAACGGAGGTGGCCACGGCAGCGCCCCACGGTCCACCCTCTCTGGGCTTGGCCGTGTCCCAGGGCTACCTGCTCTGTCCAGTGCCCCCTGGCCGCACCTCCGCACCTCCCACTCCTTCTGGTCCCCAGCCTGGATGGCTCGTATTCCTGAGGGTGAGAGTCTGGCACTTGCACTGAAAAAAATAAAAGAAATTAAAAAATACAACTCTTTGGGTTGATTCAAAACAATATAGGAGAAAGGGATCTGGGTCAAGTACAAATAATATGGGCCTGAGCTAGTCACTGATTTGGGGATGTGAAGGTGCATGATAAATCCCATCTATTTCTGTAAAAAAAAACAGTTTGACACATGAAATATTAACAATGTTTGACACAATGAACGTTTCTAAGGCTCCCCAGGAGATTCTGCTCTGCAGCCGGTGGTGAACTCAAAAAGTGAACCCCACAGGCCTGGATGGGACCAGGGCCACGTGGATAGGAGTGCAGGCTCAGTACGCCACGGCCTGCGGCCGGCCTCACCCCCTGCTTGCAATCACGGGGCTCGTGAGGTCGGTCTGAGGGTCTTCACACGCAGCTTAGGAAGCCTGGAGGAGCAGAGGCAGCCTGTCCAGGCCTCGCGGCCCCTGGAGCAGGAGGGTCTTGGGTGCACAGGACCTGCAGGCCAAGCCTAAGGCCCGGAGCCAGGCAGGACACCCCCTCTAGAAGCCTTCGTGATGGAGGAGGGGAGCCTGCTGACAGCAGTGCCCTTATCCCCAGGGGCACAGTGGCCTTGTGAATAAGCTGGTGGCCCCTGAGGAGATGGGCACAAGGTGGGCAGGTGGGGCACAGCCTTGGGGAGACCAGGCCAAGGAGGCTGTGCAGGCGCTGGCACCGTGAATGCGCCCTGGACACACCCTGGAGATCACCCTGGCCTCGTTCAGCCAAATACCTGGGAGGTGGGTCAGCTGAGACAGGCCCATCTGGGGAGAGCGGGGCACGGCGCATGACCCAGCAAGTGCCCCCAAGCCTGGGGAGGTTCGGTGAGTTCCAGCAGCCCAGGGCAGGGCCGACAGTGAGTCAGGAGGAAATGGCTCATTAGAAGACAGGCAGCCACTTCCCCGAGCTCTTCTTCCCCCTCGGGAAGCCTGTCCTGCGAGCAGCTTGCCCACTGGGCCTTCTGGGAAGCTGCAGTCACACCCTCAGCCCAGGTGGCTTGGCCTTTCCGCATGTGCCTCACCCTGGCGCGAGCCCTGCACCTGGGCCCACCTGGCATGGAAGAGAGCAGGGCCCACTCAGGGTCAGCTGCAGCCCTGAGCGCCCAGGCCACAGAACAGCAGGGGAGCCAGGGCCCGGAGGACAGAGAGCAGGTGGCTGGACAGCGCCTGCACAGTGGCTCGGTGGCCATGACCCGGTCACAGCCAGAATCCATGAGGTGGGCATACGGCTCCTCTCCCAGCCACCCGCTGCGCCATGGGGCCCACCTTAGTGGGGGCAGCTGCTGAGGGGACCTCCACATTCACATGGGGCAGGAGCTCCAAGACTGAGTTTGCTCAAGGGGAAAAGCAACTTACAGGACGATACTTAGAGCGCCACTGTTTGAGTTTAAACACACACACACACACAGATGCAAAACTCACACTGTGTGTTTACACGGGCACATGCTTGTATGTAAGTAACACGTGGAAAAAGTCTGGCAAAATATACACCAAAACAAAATACTTAGCACACTGGGAGCAGGAGGCAAGATTCAAAGGGACTGATCAAGATGGATTTTATTGGTAATGCTTTAATTTTTATGACCACATGTTCAAGAGTCATTTTATTTCAAACAACTAAATGTCGAATTGCACCCTTCTTGCAAGGGTGTGGGGAGAATCACAACCTAAGAGTCAGCTTTGGACCTGCCCTGTTCCTCATCTTCTCAGAAACTCCCTTCCCCCATTCAAGTCATTTATTCACTCAACAAGCATGTGCCACCTCCTCCTCCATGCTGGCCTTGGGATGGACTCTGGGTCAGAGGTGGCTCCAAAGTGGGCCTGGCCTGCAGAGACTCCCAGCCCCACGGGACACTGTAGTAGGGCTGGACAAGAAGGGCGATGTCACCCCAGCCCAGCTTCAACAAGGGTCTCTTGAATGTTTGGAGGAGCCAGAAAATCCAGCAATGGTATTTTTCGTGCCAAACACCCATGAATGTTTTCTTCAAGAGAGAAAATTTGTCATGAAAATTAATTAGCCAAATAGTAAAATACACAGCAAAATGACAGGAGGCCAGGGAGTCTGGTACCCCAATACCAACCAAGTGCCATGAAATACCTGGGGGATGTTTCCAAGCACCTGAAATGTTTTCAAGCATCTGCAAGGTGTTCTGAACTCGGGACTCTCCCAGCTGCCCTCTTTAGGCACCCAGTGTTGACTGCAGCACCCCCAGGGTCCCACAGCTCGTTGCCTCCTCCTCAGAGCCCAGCCACTGACACACTTCCCACTCCTCCCTCCTGGCCCAAAACCCAGGTGTTTCTAAGCCAGCCAAGGGTGCCCACAATCCCCTCATCCCCGGGGCACATTTGGAAAAAGCAAAAGACCTGCTCTGGGCCAGACTCTGGGGACCCAGCACCCAGACACAAGCCCAGGTTCCGAGCTCACCCCAGGGGTTCTTGGGGGGAGTCCCTATATCTGGCCACCTTCACCCAAAGGTCACACCATGGCCTGGGAGAAATGTGTGTGTCAGGCCTGGTGGAATGCAGTCCCCGGGAGGGCCCCAGGAAAATCAGGTTCCCAGGTTAGCATCCCAGAGGTCACACCCACCTCCTGGTAACTGAAGATGGGCCACAACCTCTGCCCAGAGGGTCAGGGTCAGGGCCTGCAGGGCCGAGTGTGGTGGGAGCTGGGAGGCAGAGTGGCTCTCAGGGGGCAGACGAGGAAGCTCCTGGGCAGGCAGGCAGGGAGCCAGCAGGAGGGATGAGGGCACGGGCAGGGCGACCCAGGACCAGGGAGGTCTCCTGGCAGACGGTGGGGCTCCAGTGTCCAGGCCAGGCCCTTACACCCAGGAACAGGTCCTGACCGAGGCCTGGCCAGGCAAAGAAAGTGCAAGAACTAGTCCGGGGACACAAGGACCCAGCATTCATGGGCTGAGACCACCCCGTGCCAGATGCACCCATTTGGGCGGCTGAGGGGCCAGGGAGCAGCAGCTTCCAGGCAGGTGCTGCGAGTGTGGGGACAGAGGTGCAGCCCCGTCACCTCCAGAGAGGTGCTGCTATGTGCCGGACTTGTGCCTCCCTAGGACCCCAGCCGGAAGGGGTCTCTGCAGGCCAGCAACGCAGGTCTGGCTCCAAGGTAGCCGTTCTCCAACCCACTCGACCCTGTCTCCATGATCGGGCCACCATTTACAAGCCCAGGTACCACGTCACCTCGGTTAATCCCACAGACTCTCCTGAGGTGGGATGGTCATCATGCCCACTTTCCAGATGAGGAACTGAGGGAGGGTAAGCTACCTGTCCAAGGACACAGACAGAACCGGGACTCGGACGTGGGCAGTCTGAGGCCAGAATTCCAGCTCGTTGCACCAAGTTGTGCCACTCACCCCAAAGCAACACCAGAAGGGATGGTGCCAGCCCTGGGTCAGGATGCTGACTCCCTGGTCACCTCTGACCTCCCAGCCGCTGACCCCTGCCTCCCTGACCTGGTTGCCTCTGAAGCAATCAGATGAACTGGTGAGAACAACACAGGGTTCAAATCGGATTCGGCCACTCAGTGATGCGTGACATTGGACATGTGAACTTTGCCCCCCCAACCTCCGTTTCCTTACCTGTAAATGGGGTTCATGATGAGAATGCGTGAGAATGAACTTAGGTGATCTGTGTTCCTTGGGATAGGATGGTGGGGGTGGGGGAGGGCTCAGCCTTCAAATCAGGGCCACAGAAAGTCCCAGCACAGAGACCCTGGTGACCAGCACTGCCTGGGGCTTGCCTGCAAGTGCCCCCACGGGGAGGAAGAGGTTCACCCCCACCCACCGGCTCTCAGTGCCCCTCCTAGTCCCGGGCAGCACCAGGGTATCAGGGCAGCCAGCCCTCGCCACCCCCCGACCCAGACCCGGCCGCAGGAAGCAGCTGGAGGAACCAGATGGGCAGCGGGGCTGTGGGCTGTAGTTGGCCGCCCTGCTCCTGTCCCCTGCCAAGGTTGTGCACAAAATACCTGCATTTTTGGTCGGCTCAGGCTGGGAGGAGTCAGGGTCTGACCCGGTCCCTCCGCCAGCAGTCCCGCCCTGCAGCGTGCTGGGGTCTCACTAAATCCTTTCTGCCGCCCCACAGCCGATGCTGATGAGCTGCGAGGGGCATGTCTCCTCCTGGTCCAGCACCGAGCCAGTACCACAGCCCACTCAATGCCTAGGCCTCTATCACGAGCGTGCATCCCTTTGGTAATCAGAAAAAAACAACAGGGCATTTTAAAAACAGTTAAGTCATAATCTCCCAGCCCAGCCAGGGCAGGCATCAATGAGGTCGCGGGTCAGACATCCCATGCCCCCATGCTGGCAGCTTGGCCACCTGAGGACGGTGCGGGTGCCTGGGAGCAGCCGTGGGGTCACTCAGCCCCCGCAGCCCACCCTGCACTTGGTGGCTGTGCCAGCACCTGCGGCCCACGCCCACACACCTCTGCCCTCTGCCCTGGGAAGGAAGGACAGACCCTGCTCTGGGTGGGGACCCTCGGGAAGCTCCACAGGCCTGCGCCCCACTGAATGGCACTCCTAAGCCCCGTCTGAGGCCTTGGTTCCCCCCAGGTGCCTGGAAAAGCTTGTGGGGCTGGCACCTGGTGAGGGGATGAGACGCTGGGCCCTCCTCCAGTCCTGCACGCGGCTCCCCTGTCCTGCTCCACCCGAGAGCTCAGACCTCCAAAGGGACTTTCCCAAAGGGCCTCAAGTCCAGAACCACTTCCGCTGTGTGAGGATCTGGGTAAAATTTAAATGCCAACCAGACTTCCATGGGTTTACATGTCCCGGTGTAACCTGTTGCTCTCCCAGAACCACAGATTGTAACCTCACTGGAGTGGGGGCTGAAGGCTTACAGCAGAGGCCTTAGTGAGGGGGCTCTGGGGGCAGCCCCCACCTGGTGCCCACGGGGGCCCTGCCCTCCTGACCCTTGCCCTCAGTCCCCTGCGGCCTGGGCACAGCACTCAGCCTCTGGTCTTGGCACAAGACACGTCGCAGGCTTCTGGCTCAGAGCCAGTGCCCAGAGGGTGGACAGAGCCGGTGCCCAGAGGGTGGACAGTGGGGCACAGGGCTGGGCCATGGGTGCTCCACAGGGGCTTCCTGCCCCTGCTGGTGAGGTCACTCGGGGTGTGAAGGCATACTGCCACCCTCGGCCTCCCAGAGGGTCAGTAATAGCCTGCTTCCTGCTCTGTGACTCACCTGCACTCCCGTCGCCACCGTGCCTGACTCACCTTCAGCGTCAGCCGAGCATGGCCTCCACGGGCCGAGGGCCGAGGGAAACGCGGTAGTGGCCAGCCCAGCAGGAGCACGGCTGCTCTGCCACCACGTCAGAGAGGAGCCCTGCCTCCCACAGGGTGCAGCCACCTTCCTGTCCTGGCATTTCACAGTTTACCCGGCTCGGTCTCCCCATGCTGTCAAGGAGGCGTGGCAGCAGCTGGGGTTTCCCTTTGGCTGACGGGAAACAGGCTCCAGGGGACCTCGACCACCCAGTGAGGCAATGGACAGAGGGAAGGCAGGCCTCCTAGGGCACCCAGCGCCTCCCAACTGTGCGGGGCAGAGCCCAGGGGCCCACGCATCCTGGCCCAATGCCAGCCTCGGCCCCCAGCGCAGGGTGGAGGGAAGGGAGCCAGTCCCCCCGCTCACAGTGGTGGGGAGGGGCGGCGTAGTGAGAATGGGCTGCAGTGGCCCCAGCAGGCCCAGGTAATTATTGTGAACCACTCCCACCAATTCCAGGCCTTCAACTTTTTTTATTAAGGTATCATTGATATACAGTCTTATGAAGGTTTCACATGAGCAACAATGTGGTCACCACATTCCCCCATACGATCAAGTCCCCCCACACCCCACTGCGGTCACTGTCCGTCAGCGCAGTGGGATGCCACAGAGTCCCTGGTCTTCTCTGTGCTGCACTGCCGTCCCCGTGACCCCCTGCATCATGTGTGTGACCACATGGCCCCTTAATCCCCTTCTCCCTCCCTCCCCACCCTCCCCACCCTCACCCCCCGTGGTGACCTCTAGTCCCTCCTTGGAGTCTGTGCATCTGCTGTTGTTTTGTCCCTTCAGTTTTTCCAGGCCTTCAATTTAACATTCCTGCGAAAGGTCAGAAAGGAGAGGCAGCCGGGAGGGGGCAGCCTGTATGGGTGGTGGGTGGACAGAGTTGAAGGAGGCATCGTATCTCCAGCCAGATAGGAGCAGGGTGGCACACGCCCCCTGGGTGCTGTGTGCGGCTCACCCCAGCCTCAGAAGCCCTGGAAGGAAGCTGCTGCCACAGGTCGACGGCTGCCCAGACCTGGCTTGTTTCCTGCCCACTGGTTCCAAGGCTGGCTCCCCAGTGCTTCCGCAGGGACCTCTTACACCCTGCAGGGCCCTGGCCAGCCGCCCCCATGAGCCACAGTGCCCCCTACCCTCACCCCATGGTGTCCAGCCCAGAAGTCTGTGTCTGTCCTGTTGCTGGGCCCAGGAGGTGCCCAGGAAACGGAAGGGAGGGAGAGCCAGTGGGCCGTGCTGGGCGAGCTGAGCCCCGACTCCAGAGGGCATGAGGCCAGCTGACTCCAGGCTTGCCCCAACTGGCTGAGGCCCTGCTTCTACACCCACCCTCCGCCCTCTTCTCCTGTTCTAGGGAAAGGCTGACGGTGCTCCACGGGGCCCGGGTGGCCGCTGGGTGGAGCGCTGCTCTCTGAACAGAGCCATGAAATGTGAGGCTCCTATGCGTGTCCCCAGAGGGGACCCTCCTCCTGCAGTGTGGCCTCAGGGACGCCTATTTGCAGGAACACCCAGGGCTGCTGGGAGAGCTGGCCTGAGGCCCGGAGGACTGGCGCTGAGGGATCTGGAGCCACTGCTGCCCACTGCCCTCCCCTCTACCCCGGGCTCTTCTCCCCACCGCCTCCCTCCTGTCACCCAGGAGGCAAACACTTAGGGGCAAACATAGGAAGAACCCAGAGGGAGGAGAGTGATCCGGAGAGCCGAGACGGGAGCTGCTCACCTCTCTTGAAGAAGCACAGCCTCAACCTGGACTCTCGGGCCTGGCTCTGGATAACAGTGGGGCCCCGGGCAGGGCAGCTGCCCCTCCTGGTCTGCGTCCTCATCTGTGAAATGGGAATTCTGGGACTGCAGCAATGTGAACAACACTTGGCCTCGCCTGGGCCACAGCTGGAGGCCAAAGGGATTTGGGATGTGGTACAGGGTAGGGACATCCTCACTGCCCATGGCGGCCTCTTTGGTCCCCTCCAGGCCCTGGATAAAACAGACTTTAGGGTCGACCTCGGACCCACTGTGGGACCCAGGTGAGCTCTTTCCTCTCTGAGCTCTGTTTTCCTCTTTATCTTTGGTCAAGAAACCCAATAGCAAGGCACCGACTCCCCAGCTCTGCTGGGGCGGTGGGGACAGAAGGCAGCTCAGGAGAATCTTGAGAAACAAGGACAGATTCTCAAACTAGCATTTGCTGAACGTTTACTGTCAGGCACTTGCCACTCTTCAGGGCGACTTGGAAATCTTGACTGGAACCATGAGCCCAGGTCCCCAGAGCCAGCTGGCCTGTCCCATCCCAAGGAGACCCCAAGGGACAGCAGGGGGCAGGCAGTCGCCTCTCTTGCCCCGTGGCCCCATTCTCCAGGCCCTCCAGTGAGACCAGCCCTGCTGCCCCGCTGAGCCCCACCCCTGCCTCAGCACCTGGGCACACAGAAGCAACTCGGGCCCCAGCTTCCGGGGCACTGCACGCCCTGCCAGGGAGCCCTTGTCCATGCGGTCAGTCAGGCTCAAGCAGAGCAGACCAGGATGGGGAGCCTTCCCAACCCGACAGAGCCCCTCCCCCTTGCCTGTGCCCCTGGGCACATGCCCAGCCACCGTCCTGAGCACTGACTACCAGCCAGGCACCTGGATTGTGTGGTCTCATCATGTCCGCCCCGATTCTCATCCCCATTTTACAGATGAGGAAACCAGGGCCCAAGGAGCTGGGTCTGGTGTAGGTCTGCCTGCCTCCCCTCCACGAACACATTGCCCTTAACAGAGGCTCATAAAGAGCCGCTTCTGGGCTGCTTTCTTGAGACAAATGCTCCGGGGCCGGGAGGTGGTAGGGATGCGGTGAAGGGTTGGCTGGGTCCCTCTGGCAGGCTCCTGCTCACAAGCTGCCTCCCTGCCCGGCCTGTCCCTTGTGGCACTGAACTGGAGGGGGCTGTGGCCAGGTCCATTCCCCAGCCTGGCAGGGAGCACCTGAGGCCAGACTGGGACCCCAACACTGGCCCTCACAGGCCCACGTGTGCATATTAGCAGGACCCAGGGGACCCTTCCCAGGCCTGCAGTCTCCCACCCCAGGGCCCAAGCGTTGCCATTTGGCCCACACGCAAAGCATTCAACCTAAGCTGGGCCTGGGCAGGGCTGGGAACGGAAGGCAGCTCCCCAAACATCTGGAAAAGTTCATATGCCTCCCCAGCGCGGCACTGGAGATGACACGGCCTGTCCGTTTGGGACGCACAGACCCTGGCCCTGCGTGGAGCCCGGCGGTAGGGAGCAGCGGCCCCACCGGCCACTTCACCGGAGCTGTGTCTTCCCTGGAGGCCCTGCCAGGAGCAAGAACCCCCTCCTCTGGGGCCCCACAGGCCTGTACTTCCTTCTAAATGTCTCAGAGCTTTGTTGGTTAGCACTTTCATCCCTCTGGGTTGCATTTTTGTGAAATAAAGCTACTGAATAACCAACCTGCTTCCTGCAAACCCTGTTCACACAACATCCTTCCCCCACTGCTCTGTGCAGCCACCTCTTTGTGGATCAAGTTCTTGAAGATTTGCTCCTGGAAGCAACACAGACTAGTAAAAAACTGTAACCCAGGGAGCAAGGCCCAGGAGTGACTGGGGCCAGAGTAAGTGTGAAGCCGGAAGACAGGCGCCGGCGGGGGTGGGGGCACTGCCCTGGTCTGCGGAGTGTGGAGGCAGCAGGGGTGCACGGAAGAGGACAGCACAGGTGGGCCTGGAGCCTGGGACCCTCAAGGGCCCTGCCTGGCCTTCCCTGTGAGCAGGCCTGCCCCAGGGCAGCAAGGCCGAGCTTCCCTGACAGGGCCAAGAAAGGGGGGGTAGCCCTGCAACAAGGCAGGGGTGGGGCTGCCAGACCTCCGGGAGGGGGTTCCTGCCTGATTTCTCCTTAGTTTCCTGGATTCCAGGAAGGCTCCCGGGGGGCAGTAGGCAAGCCCCAAACAAGGGTGTGCCCATCCTGCAGTTCCGGTCAGCCCTTCCGGTGCTGTGACAAGCCCTACGCACAGTTAGCTGGGGCCCTTGGGACTGTCTGGCAGTCTGGAGCCAGGGGCTGGTAGGCAGAGAGGCCCCGGAGCCCCACAGAACAGTAAGGAGGTGAAGCCCAGGGACCGTGGCCACAGCACAGAGCCACACAGGGGACCCAGGGGATATATATCTGGGAAAGAGCAGGCAGTGCCTGTGGCCACACCCAGGCTCTGCCCGGCCCCTCTGTGCACCAGTCTGAGAGCTCTTGAGTGACCAGCTCCCAGGGCCTTCCAGCTAACAAGGTGGGAGTGTCCGAGGCTGCGCATGGCCAGGTGCTGACCAAGCAGCCACCCCTACGCAAGACCGTGATGACCAGTCCCACCAGACTTGGGTACAGTGTGGGGACAGATCGGCTACACAGGGAAGGTGAAGGTGGCAAACTTTGATATTTCAGCCTCAGGTTCCCAGGAGGAGGGCAGGGAGATGGGGGAGGCCCAGCCGATTCTGGACGCGCAGCAGGGAGGGCTGACGGGGTCCCCTTGTGATGACCCTCAGCAGTCAGCATTTCAGGCCAGTCTGCACAGAGAGGTGACTGGGGTGGAGGGCAGCGTGAGCTGAGAGGATGTGAGGACGGCAGAATGAAGCCCAGTGGGCAGTAAAGGGTCTTGGGGAGGACCCAGGGACAGCCACCATCCCCCCTCCCAAGGGGCCTCTCTAAATCAGCCGCCGCTTCCAGCCAGCTGCCCCAGAGATGCCAGAGCAGCAGAAACACAGTGTGAGCTGCTGGCTCACCCCAGGAGGCCCCTGTGCCTGCAGGGCCTGTCAGGAGAGGTCAGGAGAATGGTGTCAGGGTCGGGTTCGGGCCAGCCATCTCAGGGGTTACAGGGAGGAGGGACGAAAGGAAGCCTAGACTTTGGGCACCTGTTGGTGGCTTCCCACAAGCTGGCTTAGGTTCGGGAGAGCCCTGCCTGGGCTCCCTGAGTTGGAGCACGCGTGGGTGGGGAGCTCACAACAGCTGCTCCTCCCAAGGAAGAGCCCCCTACCAGGAGTGATGAGAGGTGGGCCTTGCTGCCGGACCCCCTGCCTGGGTCAGGAGGATGGAGGGGCATTTCCCCCAGGTGTTTCATACTCGGGCCCTAGAACAAACAGGACCAAAGCAGACATCTCTTTCCCCAGCCTCTGAGGGGTCTGCCCA